GTATTTTTACAGTCTTTATTTTACCAAATTTCCCTTCGGGATCAATAAAGTATTTTTGAATTGAATTTGAATTGAATTGAATTACAGTTAAAATATATTTTTATCAAATAAAGTCCAATGTTACAACTAATCTGGGATCCCTTTAACTTTCAAACATGCAGGGATCCTCTCACCTCTTTGTCCAGGCAGTAGTCTTCTCACTCTTATAAAAAAGGAACTAAGATCTTGTCGTGTGTTTGTTTGTAGAACCTGTACCAGAACCGGCTCCTGAGCCTGGCTGCCATGGCCACCCCGACCCGCAGCGGCTTGCCCCGCCAACGCTGTAAGGACGCAACGCGCCACAGTTACGGCCCAGAATCCTTCGCTGTCAACGGTCTGAACCAGGACACCTTTGTGCTGGCGTTACCCCGCTCCACCAGTGACACTGATCTGGTCTCACCAGACACCCGCTCCACGCTCACCGTCAGCTCCGCCCACTACATCATCGGACAGTCTGAAGACCTGGTCATCTCATGGGACATCAAGGAGGAAGTGGATGCTGGTGATTGGATTGGAATGTATCTCATTGGTAAGTGGGCTCATCTCATTTGTTGTTGCTCAGAACGTCACTGTGGTGGTCTATTACTGACAGAAATGTTGGAACAGGAGCAGAAAGCTAAATATCTGAAACTAGTTGCTTCATCTCCACCATCAGAGGTAAAGATGGAGTTAAGCAAAGAGAGGAGCAGGTTGTCTCACGTGGCTCATGTCTCCTTTCAGACGAGGCTCAGTCTGAGAACTTTCTGGACTACAAGAACCGAGGGATCAGTGGATCTCACAAAGGACAGATTGTTTGGAAAATTGACTGCAGCTCCCACTTCACTGACTGTAAGTAAAATAATAACAGAGCAAATTTTAATTAAAAAAAGTATGTTTATTATTACTTTTAGTTTGTCACCACACAGTGTAAATTGTTGTGTACAGCTACAAAAGTTTGCCTTCATTTCAACATTATAAGGACAGTGAAGATGTCATTTGAACACTATTGGGTTTATGTGTTGATCTGTGTTTCCTACGGCTGTTTCAGTGTTTGAAAAATATCAACAAACAAGAACAAAACTCATTAATAATTAGTAATTTAAGGTTCATAATTCCTTTAAAGGGGACGTATCATTCAAATCCATGTTTTCAACCATTAAATACATTTTGTTGTGTACTTGGAGTCTCTAGGAGTGCAGAAAGATGAATTTAGTCTCTCCTGATACTGCGTAGACACAGTACCTTCATATTCTGTTTGGGTCTATTTTTCAACCTGTTCACGTTCTCTATTTTCTGTGACTTTTTCTGAACTATTTGTCACAGAATTTGCAACAGAACAGACATGTTGTTTTGCTTCGCTTTGGCAGCCAGTTAACATTAAAAGTGATTTTGTTGTAATGATAAATCCAGGATTTAGTTGTTGGAATTGTACCGTGGTCACACCCCTACAATTAACCAAATAATTTTTGTTCCCCRGATGATGATGATGGATTAAACAAAACTCCTGGGGATGTTTAGGACCTTGGAAATCCTTTTGTATCCATCCTCTAATCCAGTGGTTCCTGACCTTTTTTTCTTTCTTAATTTCAAACCAAGCTGAGCCCCCCTCCATTATTGAAACAGACTTGTTTTAGGGATTTTTTAATACATTATATAAACAATAAATGGATTGACAATTGAGTAGACAAGGTCAATGCCCCCCCACCCTCTCCTGGACCCCCAACCTCAGGCTGGAAACCTCTGCTCTGACTTGTACTTTTCAATAATCTTCTCTCAGACTTCAATTAAGTCACTTTAAAGRAGATGAATATTTATGCAGTTACTTATTTTTTGGCAGCACGATGGCTCAATGTTTAGCATTGATGAAGAAGTTCCTGGGTTCAATCCCCTGTTTGGACCTCAGGTGTTTCTGTGCAGAGATTACATGTTCTCCTCGTGCTTGCATGGGTTTTCTCCAGGTACTTCGGTTTCCCCCACAGCCCAGAAACCTGTACAATAAGTCACCTTCAGGCCCAGGCTGCCCTTGAAAAAGAAATATCAGTAAGATTTGCTTGGTTAAATAATGGTAAATAAAATAAATGCATTTTATATCACATATTACTATTTAGCGGGTATTACCCTGCAGAAATTTGATTTCAGTTGTAATAGGCTGACCATCATTGACTTCAACATCTGAATTCAACTGCATACATATGAGAGAGAGTGAGAGGGAGTGAGAGAGAGAGTGAGTCTAATGTTTCCATTGTAGTGCAGAAGCTGTCAGAGCTGATGCTGTCTACAGGCTCACAGTACTTTTGTCTCTGGAGGAGTAACAGGCCTGTTTACATTCACATCAGCGAGGAAGAGGAGGCACAGAAAACTGCATATCTTTTGCCTTCAGGGACGCGGGGAACAGCGTGTGTGTACGCAGTCACGAAAAAAAAACCATTCAATTAAATCTGCATGAAGATATGCAGGTGTTCCCACTTACAGAACTAGCACAAACCTCTATAACAGCTGGAAAAGCATTTTTCTGAGCAGCTGGCTTCATTCTCCTGAGAGGTGGGGGTAGGTGGGGTGTTAAACTAGATCAAGTGTTCAACTCGCCCCAAACATTAGTTCTTGTCACAAGATTCAGACTCTGTGAGGTGAAACTGGGTGCTCAGGACAAGCAGGCTGGTTTATGGACGGTTGTGTTCAGGATTGGTCTGCACGCAACAGTCACATCAGGTTTTAGCTCAATATTTGTAAAATTCACTGAATTATAGCAATTTGGCCAATTGGCTGTGGTAGCCATTGAAATCGGATTGACTAGTTGTAAATCTGTCTATTGGTTCATAAGAAAATTTTAAAACAGACCATTTTGATTGCAGTTATTACTGGTTTTAGTTAAAGCTCTTGTGCAATGAGTAGTTGTCCAGGTATGAGTTGGGGATGACTCTCAGCTACAACCACACCTGTAGTTCAATATGGACTGAATTACAGCTAGTTTTGTATTTGTTAAGGTTAAATACCTGTGGTGGTTTGAACTGAGATGACTCCGATCATTTTTGAGTACCGATATGAGTACTGTTAGCCATTACACTTCTTTCATTTTGTAGAACCTCTAATTATAGATTTGATACATTGCAGCTGGTGATATTTCTGCCCAGTAACATTGTTCAAAGCTGAAATATAAACAATACTATGAAAACAATGGAGCAATGGTCAGACTTTTTAAACTCATTAATGACAGTTGTGTAAAATGTCCTTTTGTACTTTTTCACCTTATTGATGATGCAGATGGAGGCCTTCATCCTCCTCACCAGGGTCTGAGCTGTGAGACTGAGCAGTGAGGAAACTCAGGCTCAGATCTGTTTATTCTCAGCACCCTCTTCTGCTCACTCGTTTACTTTGAAATAGTTCCACATGGCTTCTTCTTCTGTTGTTTTTTGGCAGCTAGCAAACAACTTTATGGTGAATTACCTCCAGTACCTCATTCAAAGTGTAGATTCAAACTTCCAACTAACAAAACAACAGCTAAGAGATGAACCCCATGCTGCCTTAAAGTGATATCAGAGCATTTTATAAGTACAAGAGTACACTATATGAGACCGATACTAAATACTTTTGTTAATACTGGTGCATCCCTTTTATAAAATTCCTTGTGTGTTCTCATTTTATGGTCACTGAGGACAATTTATTTACACAAACAGACACATTTATAAAATAACATATCAGGGATTGTTGAAGGCAACAATTTCATCTTTTTTCTTTTTCCTCCCTAGCTGAGACCTTGGTGTGCTTCAGGTACTACCATGGAGTCACCGGAGCGCTACGGGCCACTACCCCCAGCGTGACCATCAGAAAGATCTCTGCTGCGGTAAGTCTGATTCAAAGTTTTGATTTTGTTTGTGTGTGTGTGTGTGTGTGTGTGTGTGTGTGTGTGTGTGTGTGTGTGTGTGTGTGTGTGTGTG